ACACTCATAAATAGTGGAAGTTATGGTTGATATACACTCAGGAATTGTATGAACGATAGTTCTTCAATAAAGGAAGAAACAGAACATTGGGTTTCGCTACTCTAACCTAATATAATATAAATGTACCAGCTTGGTTAACTTCGACAGAACCTATAATTAACCAGCTATAACAATCTACTGGAGTTGAAGAATTCTGGTTCCTGTATTGCTGGGATACAACTCTTGACTCCAGGTGTCAGGAACCCAGCTTGCAGGAACCTTAGACATCCCCAAATGCTCATGGATGATGATCGAAACACTTCCACGTGGAATGCCAACCTCAGTGCTTGTTTAATCACTTAGACATGCTGTCCTCCATATTGAAGTTCTCAACTCGGGTGTCAGATAAGTGCCTTGTCGGTGTCATTTAAAGGCTGTGATGATCGGGGGTCATCCTCAAGCTTTTGTGTCCACATTGCACTCCTTGGCCCACCTTGTTAAAGTGGCGTCTGTGTCATGCACTACCACCATGCCTTGATAAATTTACCTTTAAGAATCTTCTTTTCTTAGTAATTTTATGGCACTCCGTTGCTCTGACACAAATTATTTTATCCCATTACTCATATTAACTATAACAAATACCTAAGCGCTCAAATTTGTGTAATAAAAAAATTGGAACCACTGAATTTCAAAACCTTTAGATCATTCGTTTGAAACTTCTGTTGGTGGTGATGTGTAACTTGTATAGTATGTGCAGGGCACGACACTTAACAGGTGCCCAAGCTCCCGGGGCACTCATACTCGAATGTTGCCATCTAACAACCTAACGAAATATGTAGATAAGTATTAGATATCTAAATCGGGTACCCAGAATCATTTTGTCTTAGAATCCGAGGTACCAGAATCTAGTAGCTTACTACATGTGTTGATAAATCGTCTTTCCATGCGTCGCAAGGATTCTACTATATACTCCGTGTGCGTGTGTGCATGTGCGTTCCCAGATACATTTATTCATTTATATTTGGCGGTGGTGTTGTGTGTAAAGGATTTTAGTAGGTGTAAAAATGTTGACAGTGGGTATGCGTGGTTGTGTTATCCGGTGACTGTCTCTCTGCCTGACAGCGAAGCTTGTCAAGTGTCCGCCGTCACCTCCTGTTGGGTTCTCCTCGATATTCCCTCACCACTGCTTACACCCTTGTCAAACTGACTCTCTCGGATGTCTTTTCAGTAAGTTATTTAATCACATCATACACGCAGATGTTTAGACTAATTCTCTATCCCGTTTCAAGTTATTACCTTGTTCGTACACCTTCAGTTCCCTCAGGACCTTTCAGTTTCTTGTGTCGTTGAAGACTCACTCGCCCCCCTGAGGCCTCTTGTCATTAAGAGTTGAGCCCCTGTGATAATGGTGACACAGGTTCGTTATGTATATTAATGTTTTAAGCTATGTGTCAAAGTTGGGTTATCCTTAGTTGGTGTGTTGTTGTGTGTCAACTGTGTAGCGACACTTAGGTCTGTGTAGTCATAGAATTGTAGTTATAGTTGGATTATAACCTTAGCAGGATTGTAGCCCCAGTAGGCTTGTAGTCCTAGCAGGATTCTGTCTTTAAAAGCACTAGCAGCATTATAGCTGTGTAAGCAAAGTTTTAATCTTCATTCTGGGCCCTCAGGCATAATTCTAACTCTTCAAGTAGTATTCTAGCCATCCATCCTAGCTCGGAGCCGTAAAAGTACGATTCCGACCCTCCAAGTAGACAGTGAGCGACGCTAAGCGGATTCTAGCCCCTGCCAGAGGGATTTGTGGAGGGTTGGCCGGAAAGTCAATATTATGTACCATTGTGGGCCCCCTGAGTGGCCACTGTCTACAAGGGACTAACTAACTCATAATGTTCACCTTTATTGTACAGTGGGGAAGTTTTTGCATTTTTTCATTATATTATTTATGGCGTGTCTGTGTCTCTTTTTCTTTTAAATTCACTTAATTTTATATATTCATATTTATATTATATAATTTTTTTTTTTTTTTTTTTTTGAGGTGATTTTCATATCGCGAAGGTATATAGTTAATGATTGGTTTCTAGATCACGGGACACACTGTCGCAGTCATTGTAAAATTCAGAGAAAACAAGTTCTCTCAACAACTTTGAGTGCGTTGTTTCAGAGGCCTTGGTCAACATTCTTCCAAAAAAATATTTACATTTTAATATATATTTTAGTTATTGCATCTTGCAGATTTAAGACCACAAAAGTAGGATACTCAGTTCTAAGTTTTTTGCATTAAACAGATATATCTGGTATCAGAAAACTGGCTCACCTGTCGGAAGAGTCGCAGGTTTGGTCCTGGGGAAGGCAGTAGAGTGCAGTACTGGCCACGCCTCCTTGTGTACAGAAGGATTATTATATAGTGTGTTGTGCTGTATTCACACTGTCCCTCACGGACAGTCATGCCCGTGGGCTTCACTTTCACTTTCAGGAGATAATAGGTGTTTATGAAAATAATCATTATTCAAGTAACTATCCTCACACAAGCTCCCCTATACAGTAGATGGCAGCCTGCTCATGATCATGGTTATTTCTCACTTCGAATTTTACTTATTCCTGAAACTTCATCTGTAAACCTCCTCGAGAGTGAAGTCATCCATCCTCTCGTGGGACAAAGCATCTCTAGCTCTGGGTGGACTGGTCTCTGTCCTTGGCTCTCATGATGACTGCGTCAGAGAACATTATTCCTGTATAGAGACCATTATTCTCTGCCTTTGTTATCGAAGGTCATCGGCAGAGACTGTGACTGGAGGATTAGGCTGCTTACCCACAGTCATACTCCTGCAGGTAACCCTCGCTGACAGCACGAGTTGTGATGACCAGGCTTGTTCAATGTCCCGTTGCCGAACATGCCTCGTGTAACTTTAAGTTGCACAGACTTCTGAGCAAGTTTCCCCACGTTTCTTACACCCCGTTCCTCTCCACAGATATGTTCTTTTTCCTTCCTGTACTTCACACAGTACTGTCTACAGACGATGCAAACCCAGAACGTGTTCAAACTAAGCTGTTGATATCTGCTTACTTTGTTCTTCAGACTCCCCGGGATGTGAACCCCATTTGCCCCTATTATCCCACTGGGCCCCTTACGTCACCGCATAGACTCGTCAAGGTACTGGAGCTTTGATTTTCCCACTGCTTTTTCTGACCTGTGACAAAGGCCTTATCACAAACTATATATACCAGAAGCTGTGGTCGCAGAAGCTCCCTTAAGCTCCAGGGATCCTTATAAGGTACTGTATAAGACCCACTGAAGGAATTAGCATTTGATCGGAGAATTTTTCATCTCGAACACATTAACCCACATCCGTAAAATTCAAACGCTTTTCGTGGTGACTTGATCTAAATAATCTATGTCCACACGGCTACACGTGTGGGCACGAAAAGAACCACGCGGAATTAGGAAAATCAAAGCACCTCTTCCGCACCACCATGAAAATTTTTTTTTACTTGAACACGAAGTTGAAGAAAAGCTAAGAGACCAATGAGCTGGGGGAAGAGGAGTAAATTATTCACCCCAAGAACCTAATTTTTATAGAACAAACATAAAAAGTAATAGCTCACGATGACCCAACAACTTAGCTGAAAATGTCAACACGCCATCTAGCAAAATGACGATTTGTCCAGAACTTACCTTAAGTCTGGTTGGAGGAAAAGTCATGAGAAAATATATAATATTTGCCAATATAGCACGAGAGGACAAGCTTAATGTAGGTGAGTTACAACAACAGAAGAATATAAACATGGAGGAGAGTCTTAACACTTAAACATCACTCCAATTATGTTTTCTTCAAGTAAATCATTTATAAACTAGTGTACGTAAATGTTTATCTTGGAGTCTGAAAGAACATTCAGTACGTAAATAAATATAGAAAACTTGACACTTGAGGAAAACATTTTATTGACCTTATCGCTTATTAAGGCTACTGCAATGTGGGGTGGGATACACAACTAGGGATCTGTGTGTGTGAGGAGACTGGACTATGAAGATATACTGTATATTCAGGCTGGGGTTTTACTGTTCTTAATCACAATAATATTCGCAAAAGGAACATAATTGCAAAACACTCTCTCACACACACACACACCGGAGACACCTAGAAAAAGTACAGAGGGCGTGCAAGATTATTTTCTCCCCTTTCTACTCCACGTATCAAGAAGTGCTCAACACACTGACCCTCTCGGCTCTCTGATCATCACCATGACCTAATCTGAAAGTTTGGGGAGAAGCTTCTGCACCATCCTCGACACCGGCTCTTGCTCCCACCTGAGATCCCTCGTCCGCGAATTGTTGTTCGACACAACAACCGCATCCAGCCCATACGAGCACGTACTGATCGCTTTAAGAACAGCCCAGTCCCAACCATTGTAAAAATTATGAGCAACTCGTAGTTAGCAGTGTGTTCACTCCCTGCCGATCTTATTTTTTATATTGTTTCTTTGCTAAAATTCCGTGTTGTATGACCTTTTTCCCACCTTTTTATTATATATCATATTTGTACCACTTATGTTACTTGTACATCATTTGTCAGTCAAGTGACCAACTCCCAATTTTGTAACATTCATCATCTCTGTTGACTGTATATTCTCATCCCTTTGGCTGCCATGTTATTTCAGTAAACTGTTTATTATTATTATTTAAACAAACACACACACACACACTACTATACACGCCTTGGATGTAACAAGCAACTTGAAAAGAAAATGAAGCTATATATTAAGTAACTTTGTCAAGAAAATAGCAAACTGTAAAGAGATTATCGAGATTTATGTTAGAGATTACCAAGTAATTTATACTGAGATTACCAATGACTTATAAACAGATTAGCAAAGTTTCTATACAAGTATTTTAAAGACTTTATCAATAATGTTTAAAAAGATTAGTAGATTATTTTATAGATTATCTGATAGTTTTAAAGAGATTTTGATGTTAATAAATATTTGTTGTAAGGTTGTGTTATTTATATTTATTTTGTTGTCAGAGGACACCGGAGCATCATGAGACAGATGGACCAGATGATGGCCTCCATGATCCGCGACCCCTTCGAAGAGGACCCCTTCTTTGGCGGCGGTGGCGGCGGCGGTGGTGGTGGCGGCGTTTTCCCTGCCTTGACGGCGGTGCCTGCCTTGACGGCGGTGCCTGCCTTGACGGCGGTACCTGCCTTGACGGCGGTACCTGCCTTGACAGCAGGCCCAGCTTTGACGGCGGGCCCCACCCCAACCACCAATGCCGTTGTGGCAGCCAGGTCACAACGCCCCAGGCCCCGAGACCCTTTCTCCGCCCTCGGTCTTCCCACCATGGCTAACATGATGTCTTCCATTGTGAGTACTAAATCTTTACCTATATCTCCCTTCTGGGTATAATTAACTCTTGTACAGTACAGCATACTGTATACTATTGAATCTCCTTCACTAAGTTCTCTCCCACGTGTTTATCGTCACTTGTTACTCACTGTTTATTAGTTAGTTTTTCAAATATTTCAGTAATTTCCTCTCCCTCAGTGTTTATGTTGAGTACTAGTTTTAGCTGTGTACAGCTGTAACGTTTCTTCATTTATGAATGTTTATTCTTTGTTCATTCTCGGACGTGTGATGTGCTATGTCAGTAAGGTGGGGGGCTGGCGACAGTTGTTGGTTTGAGTATTTATTCCACCATTGTTTGGTATTGCGAGTGTATGAAAAAAATTAAACATTCCCAATAGCTAACAACCTCTTCCTGCACTTTGTATGTTTGTGTTAATCATTGTGTCACGCTCATGTTGGCAACCATGCGTGTAGTAGTGTCACCCGTTGATTTTTAACCTGGAAACACGACACCGCCCATGTCTCTACCTCAATGACAGGTTATAGCTGGCACTTGTCAACCAAGAAACTATTTTAATCTTTCAAAAGAAAATGACAACAGTATTTTTTTTTTAAAGTTGAAGGACCTGTAATATGTGTGTGTGTGTGTGTTGGTGTGTACCAGACAACTATGAAAACCCGAGTGTAGTTCACACGGATGATTTATGACATAATCAACCAAATGTTTGGCCTGAATGAACATTATTCCGGCTGAGTATTGGCTATCGCCCATTACAGTGTGAGGTCTCCGACATTCATCACAGTCAATGATCATGAGTGCGCACAAAGAGGCCACTCTCTTTACCTTGTCCTAGATACTCATCTCTGTTTCTTATGTTACAGTACATAGTCTTGGCTAATAGGATCTAATATTCAGAGTTGTTACGCCAACGTTAGTGGGTGGGGGTCGGCTGTCAGAGTAATAATAAACTGGATAAAAAGGTCCAAATTAAATAGTAAAATGTGTCTAATAATAACTTAATAATAATTAAATCTTATCATTTAGATTTTTAGACCAACTTTGTTCTAATAAATATTTTTCTACGTTTTACTACGTCATTATGGTAAGCACTGGTGTGGGTTCAGTGCTCGCCTGCTGTCCCAAATGTCTCTGTGTGATCCCAGAACACTGCCAGGTCCACCCAGTTGTAAATGGTTACCTAAATTACATATAGGGAAGTGAAGATGATAGAATGCAATGTCGGTCACATTGCCTCCTTAGTATACAGTGTGCTGTAACCAATCTGTCCCTAATGGACAGTCATGCCTGTGGGACCCTTTTCCATAATCAGCACGTTATCAGTATGGACCCATTACTAAGTAAGTTGATGAGAAAGCGGAAAAGGATAGATAAATACTTAACATAGATGTACAGTAGAGTAGAATGTACAGTTGCGGAAATGTGTTCCTACTCCTGTGGTAACCCGTGTCGCCAAACGGCCAACCTTAGTATGACCTACAGTAAACCTATCTACCAATCACGGCCGTCGTTACAAGACTATTATCAATTCATTCATAATAAATAGTGATACTGTTACTGCGACGTTGCTGTTTGGAGACACGGGTTACCACGGACGGTGTAGGAACATATTTCCGTAACTGTACACGTCACGTCACGTCACGTCACATAAACATCAAAACGATACAGTATATGTAGCTTTAGTTTAACTCATTTTTAACTAATGAAACCAATCATTACATATTGTTTTTCTGGACAACCACAGTAGCATCCTCGTGATGAACCTTAAATTCCTGTTGTGTTATTAGTATTTATGATAAGAATTGATTTTCTGAGAAAAACTTAGCTTTTTTTGTTATGTCGACCTAAATTATAAACAGAACTTTATATTTATTGTTCTAACAGAGATATACAGTACAGTATACTGTACTGTAAGTGTAAAGGTAAGTGTTACTAGGCTGTGGATAGTTATATAATCTTGTCCTACAGCTGTCGTCTGCTGTAAGCATAAACCATAATCTTTCCTGTTTACTAATTAACTTGTAGCCAACATAAAACGTTCGTCCTACTACAGTACTACTGTATATCCGGTAATACCTTTTTTTATGATTGAATTATGGTTTAGTAACTTGGAAGGTTGGAATTACATATATATAGAGGGACGAAGAATGAGGAGTAGACTACCAAATGTAATTATTTTGGAAGGAAGCATATTGGGCTGCCCGCCTCCGATACAGTGTACCACGAAACTCCATTAGCTCTCAGAAATATATTTTTTGGTGTGATTTAATTTAGTAGACGTGCATTCCGTACAGGGGAATTCTCCTGCAATATATATATATATATATATATATATATATTGACCTGCTTGCATACATACATACTTGTAAGCATTTTCTTCCAGAATACAGGTTGGCCCAAAACAGGAGTAACCACGCACACATTTCCCTTTTATTCCTTGTCATTCTTACAGCTATAGCTATGACCCCTGCTGTTGTACTCCACTTTCACACTAGGGCCTCTAAACTGGTTTACTCATGTCACCTCACACAGCCAGCATCACCCATCAGCAGTATTTTCTTCCTAAAAAATCACTCGACGCGAAGCTTTGCCCTCCTTCACATACATGTTCACTGCCGCTTCCTTGGTGCCCGTCCCCCTCACTTTATATTTACCCTTCACCCCATCCTCCTGTCTCCTTCTTGTCCCCCCTCGTCTCCTCCTCCTTGCCCCCCCCCGTCCTCTCCTCCTCCGTGCCGTCTGCCTCAGAATTATACACAACTTTTATCAAGTGTTGCTTTCCATTTACTCAAAACGTTCACAACCGCCTAAAACAATCCCTGATCTTTCTGCCTGACTCTCCTTTCACATCCGCATCTTTATTTCTCATTCACTGCGCCTTATTTATCCTATTTATTGTACAGTAGATCCTTTCTCTCGCCTCTTCCTCCAGCGTCCTTGTTTCACTCCTATTATAATATTAGTTCACCTCCCCTGTTCACATCCATCTTTGTTCCCTTCAACACGATTCTTTCCTTCTGTACATTTCTCAGTCTCTCTGTTAGTTTCTTTCCTTGCGCTACACGTTGGTTCATTTCATCACATCCACTACTACAATTCTGGAACACCCCGCTTATTGCCATCCAAACAAACATATATCTTTCTCTACCTCCCAATTTTACTTATTTTTACCATTATATGAGTCGTATTAATAATAGCCTTCGAAAATACGCCGTTAAGTTACGGTTATCGCTGGTTCCGGATACCTTACTACAACCCCCCCCGTCCACCCCTCTCCGACATCCTCACACTTAGATATTATTATATAAATGGCTGGCAAATGGCGTCCAGATTGCTTCGTGAATTAATTGTGACTGACTTCCAGAGGAACTGAGAAATTCATCCTAGACACCCATGGTGAGGCCCGCCGCTGATCCTGGATTGGGAAATGTTACCTGATTGTAATTTTTTTCATCGATTAATGTACTATAATGAAGTGACACACACACACACACACACACACACACACACACACACACACACACACACACACATTGAACCCATGAAGTAACCGTAAACAACAGTATAGCTCATTTATGGATGAGTTTATTATTAGTATGTTTAACAATCTTGGTGTCTCAATGATTCCCACACAAGTTATTATAAAAAACAACACTGAAGTCCCCAACCTACCAGCAACATCAATAGCTGTTTTACCTTCCACCACAGTGATTAAACTGAAACCTTTTTGATCATTGGGCAGCTATTTCAGATTTTTGTATTTCATATTTATAGACAGCTGGAATGCTACGGTTAACATTATAAGTTGGCCATAGAAGATAAATCTGACAGAACACTTGAGTAGAGTATAGATTCTTAGCTGGTAAGACTGTCAGTATACAACGTAGCTCAGACGCCCGCCGCCATGACAACTTTCGCGGCCTTAATTATTTGTTTACTCGGGGTGTGGGGGAGGCGGGGCTGGTGAGGCTAACATGAGAGGGGAGGTATTATTTAGTGTGGTGGCCGTGAAGGAGGAGGCCTGTGTCACCGCTGTCATCACCTGTAGCCACGATGACTTTCTGGGTGTGTGGAATGGATGAATGTTGGGAGGGAAGTGGAGTTAGGGATGTTTTGAGGGTTTGGCAATTGATGGATTGTGGGAAGGTTGGGGGGGGAGTGAGATGGGGTGAAGGATGGAGGGAGAGTTAGGTAGGGACTAGAGAGAAAGATGTAAATAGAGTAATAATGTAGGAGGGTGAAGAAACATGGGAGTAGACTAGGCAGGGTCGAGGGTAGGCTAGGCTAGGTAGGTCGAGGAAGGCTAGGCAGGGTGTCGGTCGAGGGTAGGCTAGGCTAGGTAGGTCGAGGAAGGCTAGGCAGGGTGTTGGTCGAGGGGAGACTATTACTGGAGGGTGTATTAAGAGGTCAGATTAGATAGTGGGAGGAAGGAAGGGTAAGTGTGGCTATCACAGTAGAATAATAAATTAGTCTAAGACAGACATATTAGTGAAGCAGCGGTCCCTTACCACCTCCACATGATCAAGCGCTGTAGTTGTCCGTTCCTGAAGACTATGCTGTCTTGTGAAACTGGGCGGGACAGTACCCAAGACTTGTACTGTTGAACTCGGTAACTCCACTAATGGAATCTTCGTATTTGGCCAAAACTGCCCCCAGTGCGTCTTATGACCGGGGAGAATGAACTTCTTGTTATACGTGAGACAAAAACCTGTCAAGGGTACAACTGTTAATGTAAACTTGAGTCGTAGAGTTACTGTCAGAGTTAACTCGTTACCTGTACTGCTGTTGTAAATGTGAACTGAAAAATTAATGTTTGATAAATTATTTATAAATTGTTTTGAAAACTAGAACTTTTCGGTGTAAGTTTGTTTGTCTGTTTGGGTGTTTTTTTTAACCCTTTGTTATCTGGATGGTAATTATTGTATACATACAGAAGTTTGGAAGAAATTTGAAATAGTTACATGTGACCGCTAGCTGTAGTGTGTTAACTTGAGGTGTT